ATTTTCACCAGTTCTAATTAGCATTGTACTGGAAGTCCTATCTAGTAATTGAAGACAAGAAAAAGAAGTTAAAAGAATATATATTGGAGAGCAAGAAATAAAACTGACCTTATTTATAGATGGCATGATTGTCCACACAGAAAAATCTCAAGAAATCTATAAAAATACTTCTAAAACTAAAGAATTGAGTTTTGCAGGGTCACTAGATACCAGGTCAACATACAAAAATCAATTGCATTTCTAACGAACAATAGGAAATTGATGTGTTTTGTTTTTTAATATCATTTACAGTTGCTCCAAAAGACTACTGGGGAGCCTGGGTGGCTCAGTCAGTTAAGCAGATGATTTTGGCTCTGGTCATGATCTCATGGCTCGGGAGTTCAAGCCCCACGTCAGGCTGTGTGCTGACAGCTTGGAGCCTGGAGCCTGCTTCGGATTCTGTGTCTGCCTCCGTCTCTCTGCCTCTCACACTGCCCCCCCTCAAAAATCAGCATTTTTAAATTTTTTTAAAAGATGAGAACTTAAATACAAGCATAGTAAAACATGCAGGGATCTGTATACCAAAACTATAGGATTATAAAAACACTTATTTTTGTTTTTACATTTATTTATTTTTGAGAGAGTGAGACAAAGTGAGAGTGGGGGAGGGGCAGAGAGAGAGGGAGACACAGGATCTGAAGCAGGCTCCAGACTGAGCTGTCAGCACTGAGCCCAATGCGGGGCTCGAACCCACAGACCGTGAGTTCATGACCTGAGCTGAAGTTGGACGCTCAACTGACTGAGCCACCCAGGCGCCCCTATAAAAACGCTTACGAAACAAAGCAGAGTTGACCTCAGGAATGGCATACCATGTCTATTGATTTTTGGAAGCAAATCTGGGAAGTTTTCAGGCCTTATTTCTTTTAGTATTTGTTCTGGTCCTTCTTTCCTGTAACGAAATGTACTCCATTTACACGTACGCTGAGGCAGTTAAAGGTTTGGGGTTTTGTTTTGTTTTGTTTTGTTGAGACTCCTTTCATTTTTCTTTTCTCTGTTTTCTCTCTGTCCTGCTTTCATCATCTCTATCAATCCATTTTCAAATTTGTTGATTTCTTTGTTCTGCCAGTTCACATCTGCTGTTGAGTCTTTCTAGTAAATTCCTCATTTTGGTTATTGTACTGTTGGGCTCTGGAATTTTCATCTGACTCTGCTTTACAAGCCCTGTCTCTTTGTTGCGATTCTCTCTTTGGCAAGGCACTGTCACCTCATCTTTAAACATATAGGTGATGTTTGCTTCGAAGTCTTGAGGAAACTTTACACCTTGTCCCTCTCACGCTCCGTTTCTGTTGGCTTTTTCTCCTTTCCCTTGTGCACAGGTCACACTTTGCTGCTTCTTTTCATGTCTCATAATTTTATTGAAAAAGTATATTTTAGGTAATGTAGTACTTCTGGATGACCACCCCACCCACCACCCACCTCCCCCCCACGCTTGTTTTTGTTTTGTGCTGGTTTGTTTTGTGACTTAGCTGGGTTATTTTAGTGAAGTCTGTATTCTCTTTGACCTCAGTGTTAACTCTACTGCCTCCCAGGGTATTACACCCAGACTTTAGGCTCTAATTACTGCCTGATTGTGGTGGTGTTTTTTGACGGTGCCCCAGGGCACAAATTTTTGAGCGGTCTAACCCAATTAAATTCAACCAGTGGTAGTGTTGAAGGCCTGTCTTTGAGGTTTGTTCTGACTCTGGGAGGGCTGTGAGCTGCCTCTCTCCTGTAGAACAGGCTGGGCCTGGTTGAGCTGGTTACTCTGAACCAAGAGGTGCCGTTGTTTTCAAGAGCAGCCTTACGCTTGAACTTCCTTACGTTTTGTTTCAAATAAAGTGAGTTCCCTTGGGGAGCCCCTTCAGAGCTCTCTTTCCTTCTGACTGCCTCTCTCCCGAGAAAATCTCACAGTTCATGGGATTGAGCCCCGTGTCAGGCTCTGTGCTGGCAGTGCAGGGCGTGCTTGGGGTTCTCTGTCTCCCTCTCTCTGCCCCTCCACCACTTGCACAAGCACACTGTGTCCATCATGCACTTTTTGACATTACCGGTATGATGGGTTAAGCGTCCGACTTCAACCAGGTCACAATCTGTGGAGTCTGGGAGTTGAGCCCGGCAGCGTCAGGCTCTGGGCTGATGGCTCAACCAGAGCCTGAACCTATTTACATTCTGTGTCCTCTCTCTGCCACCCTCCGGGAACCATGCTCTGTCTCTCTCTGTCCCCAAAATAAATAAACGTTGAAAAAAAAAATTAAAAAAAAAATAAGTAAACTTTTAAAAAGAAAAAAATAGAGTTGCCTGGGTGGCCCGGATTACAGTTCAACATCGACTTAAACAAGGTCATGACCGTCTCACAGTTTGTGAGTTCAAGCCCCAGATTGAACTCTGTGCTGACAGCTCAGACCCTGGAGCCTACTTCGGATTCTGTGCCTCTTTCTCTCTCTGCCCCTTGCCCACTCATTCTCTCTCTCTCTCTCTCACACTGTCTCAAAATAAATTTAAAAACATTAAAAATTAAAAAAAAGAAAAAGAAAAAAAAAAAAGCTCTGTTTCACTTGAGATGGTTCGATAGATCACCATGAATCCCAACAAATTGCTCCTTCCTTTCTTTTTTTTTTTTTTTTTTTAATTTTTTTTTTTAGCGTTATTTATTTTGGGACATGAAAGAAGAATAGGAATCGAGCAGGAGGGAACAGAGAGAGGAAAGAAGGAAAAGTGAGCTCTGTGTATTGATGATTGACAGCAGCTCATGGACAGCCAGTGAATTGCCTGGCTGAGGCATCGAGACAGCCTCTTCCCTCTTTTTAAACTTTTTTTATGTTTGTTTATTTTTCAGACACCCCACACACACACACACACAGCATGAGTGGGGCAGGGGCAGAAAGAGGAGACAGAATCCGAAGCAGGCTCTGAGCCTGGAGCTCTGAGTCAGATGCTTAACTGACTGAGCCACCCAGGCGCCCCTGCTCCTTACTTTTCAAAGCGAGGCTTTGCTGGATATACAATTCTTGGTTGACCGTTTTTTTTCCTTTCAGCCCCTTTACTTTTTTTTTTTAAGT